ATACGAAAACATTGGTGAATGCCACAAATTCTCCTAAATCACTCGTACGCACAATTTAAGAACAAATCTGTGCGTACGAACGGTCCTTGCATGAGGCCCAATGTCTATCAAACCAGCTGAGTTAGTTGAGGCCTCCTACTTAATCCTCATGGCCCACGGTCCTGCATGTCTTAGACGTTTCACTGCGTCAACACACCTGAACGAATTGTACGAGTCACTGACAGGCTTCTGCTAAACCTGAAGACAGTCTGAATAGGTGATTTAATTATTTAAATCAGGTGTGCTGAAGCAGAAAAACTGCTAAAACCTGCAGGATGGTGGGCAACAGGTTCATAGCCACAGGTGGTATTTAATGACATTTACATAAATGCAAAAGTGTGACATAATGAACGGCCTATTGTCTGATACACTGAATCTTAAAATTCTGACATGTTTATTTCAGATTTCGTGAAGTGACCCAGAACAGAGGCAAAAAGGATTTGACAGAAGGTTACAAATAAACAATGATAAATTACAGATTTAACGTAAATCAGTAATTGCAATCGAGAAGAATGATTTGTCATGGAAGCAAAGTTAACCATTTATGTCTAGTAGATTCATTTAAAAAATGTACAAAATGATACAAAATCTATTAAAGCCCAAGGAAGATCCCAGGCACAGTCTGAAAGAACAATGATTGAAAGTGACCTAAGAGTTTAAGTACGCAGGGAGGAGTGATTACTGATCATGTGCAGGTGAGGTTAATTAACGAGGAACAGCTGAGTGAAGAGGCACTGAGGGCAACATTAACCGAGAGAAAACTAAATAACAAGGTGGAGAATAAAAACAGGAACATGCTGGATACAAGATATCTTAAAATATAAACAAGAAGGTTAAAACATATTTTAATAACCAGGCACAAATAACAAAACAAAAAGAAAAAAAAAACAACAAGATAGTGATTAATTACTATAACTTGAACCTAATTACATTAAGAAGTACTGTTTGGGGATAAACGTTGCTGAAAATGTTGCTTTTATCTGTTTAAAACATACAAAGCTTAATCGGGTATAAAAATAATGATTAACTCTATTTTAGCTTTGTCAGTCATACACATGGATTTGCAATGACTTTTGCAGAAGATGTGCTGTGTTATGTTTTAGTGTGAAACTGGAGTTGGGTGGAGAGGTGTATTATAACCAATAAAAGGACAGGAAGTGAGGAAATTACAGATGTCTTCAAACTGCAGCATCGTACTGGAATATTTAGTAACAATATGAGTGTTGATTATAAAGTCACCTATATCGCAGATATTAACCTGCTAAGGCTGCTTCCAGCATTAAATTAGAAATACATTTGTTTGTGTGATTTTAAACATAAACACCTACATCATTTCTTTGTTTTCAACATGCTTTGAATAAGTAAAGTTTAGGTAGTAGTCTGAAAGGAGTAGAAGTTTGTGCCTTAACTGCTCTTTATTTAGAAGGTTTTAATCCTTGGTGTAATTGTTCAACTTCCCAACTAAACTGTACTCAAATTGTTGCTTATTCCCTAACAAGTCTGCAAATTGCTGCACAAATTAAACCAAGGAAAGAAATTGCAAATTCACGCATCCAGTTTTTTTTTCTAAATTGAGAAAACCACTTTGTTTTTACGTCCACACCTGGCACTTACCCATACCAAATTCTGAATGACTCTTTATCAAAGCAGTTTTAAAAAGTAATCTCATTCTATCGCTTTTTCCTTCATATCATTTTATTTATTTATTTTTTTGACTCCACTTTTTTGCTGCCTGACGTGGCCCAAAAGAAAGAGGCTGGAGCACAACCACAGCTGTGACTAGAACACTTTAAATACCATTGAGCACAAACTGTCCCTCTACTTCAGTTTTTAAATCTGAGACAAATATTTAGTGCAGTACCTGCTAATGGGATTGAGGAGCCTGGAGCTGAAAATTTGGAAGCGTGGTGATTTGTGTTTAATTGTGTGAATGCCATTAGGCATTCACACTATTGTTTTCGTGTTTCTCTTTATTATNTGCTATTCTTCTGCTATTTCAGCTACAATTCTGCGCAAATGGCATTCACACTTGCATTTTCGTAGGAAATGCAACTTCTCTAGTTACATTTGTAAACGGATCCCTCTGAAATGCAATCTGTCAAAGAACCTTCCTCTACTGTTGCCTGCATATCAGCTAATGAAACAAGCATTTTAGCCTTTTGATGTCTTGTAAGAATGAAAATGTTTACAAGGTCAATGTATTGCTTGCAGTTGATTGTTGTTTTTTTAAGGAAAAAATGTCAGAAATTCTAAAAAAGGTTCAATTAGTATTTTTGGGCCCTCAGAAATGTTCTGAAACACAAACAAACATCAAGGTTTTCTAGTCTCACCTGATTTTCTACTAAATTGAGGCACCGTGTGACTTTGCCCTTAAAAATATAACCATTTTTTAAAGTGTTTCAAATTCTACATTGAGCTTGAAGCCGAAACAGTCATTGCTGATGGAACATCGAGCTTTCGTTGTTTTAGCTATTCTGTATCTTACATGTGAATGAGCTGCAGCTGTCCCATATTCCACAGAGCTGAAATATTGTAATAATTCCTAAAATATTTTCATGTGCCTGTTTGTTTGCGTGTGTGTTTGTGTGTGTATATGTGTGGAATGTGTGTGGCACAGAAACTCCCTAGACAAATTGCAGCCAATTAGCATTTAATGATATAACTGTAGAGAAACACATTTTTATTTCTTGGAACGCTGCTTCTCTAAGATGGTAATAATTAAAGGGGAGCTGCACCATTTTTGCACATGATGATTATCACTGGCATCATTGGAGCCACTTAACCTCTGTGAATGTAAACAAACTGGATTAGGTGTTTCCTAATAAACTTGATTACTTTGTGATAAATGATTTCTTTCTAAATTTAGGCAAATGCCTTTTTGAATCACAGATTTTTTTTTTTTTTCTGGGGTGTACTCACACCTGACACATTTGGTTCGCTTTAAACAGACCAGAGTTTGTTCCTCCCCAATTGATGTGGAACTTGGTGTGAACCCTAGTGCGGATCAAACAACCAGACCAAGATCCATTTTTGATG